GGTCTCTTTTGGTGGGGTGGGGGTGGGCTAAAGCCATAGGAAGAAAAATGTGATGTATGTCTCCAGTATGTACTATTTTGTTTTTGTTTTGCAAGAAGAGTTGAACTATTTTTGATAACAAGAGTAAATGGTGGAAAATGCTTCATAGTTGTCTTGTCTTTATTTGCTTTCCAAGTTTTGAAATTTTATTTAATTCTTCTAAATGTTGTTAGAGTGTCTTATGAAACATGTATTTGCCTAAAGTTTGTAATGGTTTTATGTTGAACCCAGATACCCTGCTATAAACTTGTAAGTCTGTTCTTTATTCATTAATGATCACTGCAAAAATGGCTAAAAATGAGATTGTACACATGGATGACTAGCATATATTTTGCAAATCTCCCAAACTTTCCTAATATTATGATCTTAAAATTCATAGAGTACTTTATTGCTTCCCAGGTTTGATCATCTTAGTTTTTGTTTTTTTTTTTGATGCATGGGAGGTTGGCAATATAGACAAAGTGGAAATCATTAGTATGTGAGGGCCTTGATTGTTTTGTAATATTGCCAATGATAAATTCAGGTTGTTTTTAGCACAAGTTTCTCTTTTTTATGCTGGTATTCTCACTGCCACATTTTTGGAAACCTGTATTATACCTTAAATCTATCAATAAATGTTAGTTTTCTAATTCTATGTTGTAGAATACTGAGGAGTTTGGGCAAGCATGCTTGGAGTGGCCTATATTATGTGTATTGGGAAGAATAATTGATTACAGTGCCTTGATTTTTACATTGTTTTTCTTTATACTATACCATGAGTTATTTGGGAATGCTGACAAACAGCTGACTAGGAATGATTGAGAAATTTTTACCAAAGTAACTGGATTGGCTTCATCAGGTTTTGAAACCACCAAAACAGTAATAGCATTTAATATGACAGTCTTCACTTGTTGTTTTGAAGTCTTCCATATTCACATAAATGATCAAATGATATTTTACCATACATGATTAAAGTTTTAGAGCTGACAGTTTATCTTTTTGGTTAGCGTTAGTAAGTCTATATTTCCATGTAGCTATGTAATATGGTCCTAGGATAAAGAATTCCTTTCATTTCACCGTTCTTACTGTTCTTAAGACAACTCTGTGGTGACCTTGCTAAAGAAAAGTTTTACAATGGGTGAAAAATTTCCTTTCCCAACTTACATATAATAAATAGAAAATGTTTTAGAAAATACTAAGTTCAAAGTTCAATATTGGAATCTAATTCTTGATGGTATTTTAACTTTCCTTTTTAAAAAATTAAGTTTTAGGTACCCAAATAACAATCAAATACACATTATTTTAAAAGAATACATTCAAGTATAAGGTTAAGTCCTCTTTAATCCCTGTGACCCCTTCATTCCCAAACCCTGGTCCTCCTCTCTATCTCTAGAGGAAATTACTTTTCAGTATGAGGTGTTACTTTCCAGATCATTCTTTATAGTTTTCCCAGGTGTTCAAAGAGTTACTCTCTTTGAAACTTAGGCTTCTTTATAGTGTTAACTATTTTAAATATAAAAATAAATTGCAAGTGTATTAAAAATGTGTAGTGATTATCTTGGTGAACATGATTCATACTTGACAACTTGTCTTTTATTTAGTTTTGCAAAAAGGGAAAAACAAAAGTTAAATCATGCAGGCTTCTTCACCCAAACACGCTTAACATTTTCAAAAGTTGAGCAAATGACTTCTCATTTGATCAATTTATAGCTTTATAAACACTTTAAATAGTATGCAATGACATAGATAAGATGCAGGGAAAATACACAGAATTTTATTAGTTTGATTACCTTGGCAATTAATGGTATGCTGTGAGACTCATTTCTCATTGAATAGCATTTTTAAAATCATGATAATCCTCAATTTAAGGATCCTAATATTGTAAAAACTCGGAATTTCCAGTTTGGCAGTAATGATTATAGTCAGCATGATCTTTACCAGAAAGCCAAATACATTCTGGTTTCTCAGAATTCACATTTCTTGGATTCCATTCTTAAGAATACAGTGAAACACACTGTGTCTAAAAATGTGATACTTTGGGTAACCTAAATTAAATAGCTTTATCGTAAATGGAATGATACTGGTAACTCTACTTTTATAATAATTAAACTTTGAAACCAAATATTGACCAAAGTAAAAGCAAGAAGACTTTAGTAAGGAGAAATAAGGTAAAAAATTAAAGCCAAATAGTAAAAAAGGAAAAAAAAGATCATATATATATATTGGAAAACTGAGTTTTATTTTTACTTTTTGCTGAGTCTTAAAAATAGTTCAGATCATTATGGATAGTAACACCTTTAAAACCATATCTGGCTTCTTAAATCATTAGCATAAAAGTTATTTTTATCGAAATGCAATTGTTTTTCTCTCCTGGTAAAGTTTGGATGTGATAGATGGTAAATTTTACATACCACATAAATTCTTTTAACCCTAGTAATTTACCAGCATATTAAGCTTGTTGTGTGTAGTGTTTCCTAAAAATTTTTCTAAGTTTTTAGTTCTTTGTGAACTACAGTTTTAGTGGTTATCACTTTCTGTAACAGTTAAGTGAAGATTAGTTCCAATTATGAAGGTGAAGTAACAGGAAACTGGGAGGATAATGAGAGGAAGGATTGCTAACTCTTGTGTACCAGCTATTCTCCACTTTTTGCCTACAATAGCCCAAAAATTGATTATTGCATTTTTGGCCTTTACACCGGCAAGGGGGAACCAAGATGGGGTGGGAAGGGAAGCCCTTCCGACATCCAGGACTCAGTTAAAAAATTCAGGGGAAAAGTTGAATTTGACAGAGATGGATGTTAGAAAGTTTCTTTGGGGTTTCTTAAACCATCAAAAATTTCCTTCCTTTGAATAGTTCATTTTCAGATTTTATCTTCAAGGATATTAAGGACTTGGCTGCATTGTGGCTTGCTGAAAAATATGATTCTATAGGGAACACATCTACCACTACATGAAATAGATTTATTGGTATCATCACTGTTCCATTTTTGTGATAAATACTGAGGTGGGTAGGATATTTGAATAGCAGTTTCTTTCAACATAAAGGAATAATGTTTATATTGAGGCCTTTACTAATAAGGCCTAGTCTAATGTTACATGATGAAAGAAGTATGTCTAGTAGGAATTTTCATATATCATTTGTCTTCAAGTAGGCTTTTGGTAGGAAGTATATATATAATGGAGAATCAACTAATTTAGAGATTAATAAATCAGTAATTCTCTACAAATGCGGGATGAGTTAAAGGAAACTGTTTTCAAGTAGAGTCAAATTCTGTACTTGTCTTCTGTAATTCTTCAGATTTTATAAAAGCTCAGGATAGGGAGGGGATTATTCAGAACTTGCCAGCAAGGTTGGAAGGCCCAGTGGTTATAATACCTGAGGATGTAAAGTGACTAGCAGTTTGGCAGGTCATTGTGATATTATATTAAACCAGGTAAGTTCAAGATCTTGAACTCTCCATTACACATATAATTAAAAGATGTCTCTGAGATGTTTCGGCAGTGCTTTTATTACCAGGGGCCAGTCAGTTCTGGAGGGCCTTACTGCTTTTTGAAGTTCCAGAATTTTTTGACTCATTTTCTGCAAGTGAAGATTTCTTCTGGGCTCCATAGGAGCCCTGAGGGGCTTGAGGGATGCTGGACAAGAGAGGCAGCTCCTGCTTTTGTGCAGAGAGCTGTGTTTGGCACTGTCCCCAAGAGATCCTTGGTACATTCAGGGTGAAGAGTGCTTACTGACAGACTTTGGAAGGGTGCGAATATAGTAAACTTGGGTCCAAGGAAAAGCTCTCTTAAGAGGTTTGCGGCAAACTGGTGGAGTCTTCCAAATTGAGTATGTGTATCCAGACCCGTTGCTTAAAAACGTTTTGAAGTTTCTAGTGCAGATACACCCTTGCAGAAATCAAAGACTAAAAAAGCAGTATGCATACTAGAGCGTCTCTTCACAAGAAAAAACATTTCAAATACATGTCTCATGTAGATGTTGGCAACTACTCATCCACTGATTGAAGCATTCCACATTTCTCTGAAAGGCTTGAGGTTATTTTATTGCTTTTGTTTCCAGTCTCAGAGGGAGAGGCAGGCTCCTCTGTGTCATAATCTTCAAAGGAGCTGAAAGAACAAGAATTTTTTTTTTAAAGTTTTAATGTTTTGGTAGACATCAAAATGGCAATCTAGACTGAAGACCAGCTTGCAAAAGTACTGTCAGTTGGTAAATGGCAGCTACAAACAACTGAGCCACCCTGAAGGAGAATGCTGTGGGGCCGGAAACATTCTCCCTGTTCCTTAAAGCCAAGTTTGTGTTAGAATTTGTGGAAAATATGCTGTATCAAGCTTTCCCAGGGGTGTTGGTGGGAACGAGAGCATTACTGATAAGGGCCCTCACACCTTCCCTAACCTAGCATTAAGTATGAATTTACATGAATGCATGGAAGTCATTTCAATGAAGGCAAAGTAGGGGACTTTCTCAGTTCGAACTGCTTTATAGATTCCATGGGTTCAAGAAGTACATTTAGACGTGCAAGTACATACATAGCAGACTAAAAGCCCATCCATGGATTTCCTTCCATTCTTTGTAGAATTCCACGGCATAACCTCCCTGCTCTCTTTGTTTTAGAGGTTACTGGTGTCCCAAGTTCCCTATTCTCCAGGTTTTGGTCTGTGCGTGGCCTTAGCCACTCCCACTTAGGGATGATGAAATTTGTCATGGGAATGATGGCTGCTTGAACTATAAGTTGACAAATATTCTAAGGTTACATCTGAGCCCTTTAAAATATACATGATCAATTAGCAATGTCAATAGTATTTGACATCACCAGTTTAGCTTTGTTACCCTAACATAACATCACAGGAACTTATGGACCTAAGTAAGTCCCTTTATCAAAAGGGTTATCAAGGCTGACTAGTGAGGGAAAATATGCTGAGGCAGGTATATCCAGGTGGTACCTATCCAACTTCTAAAACATTTTTGAATAGGAGGTAGAATGTTAAAAAAAAGGCCTATCTGATGTTTAGAAAACTTCCTTTTGAGTACCAGTTTGTGATCCTAACACATTTACAGCTGCATTCATTTTGCAAGAATACTTCATTCCATACTTAATTTCTACTTCATTCTACCCCAACTCTTTGAGGCCTCAAAGTGATTGGCATATATTGGATAAGGAGGCAGTAAGGAGGTAACTGCTTTAATGGGAGTGAAGCAGGGTTGAAGGTAAAGAGCCTCCATTTCTGGGACAAAACTTAATTCTAGCAATTCAGTGTCAGACACTGACTGCTTATTTCCTGTCAGAGTGGAAAACATTTTCCTCCCTTTGCTGTCATAACTCGCTCTCTGAGCTCTCAAGGCCTTAATAACCTTAGTGCAGATCTAGAGTAAGAGTTTGGTCTTAACCGAGACTTTTAGTAAATATTCAAGGTCCTGTTGCTAAGCCAATGCTAGGTGAAAAAGACTGAACCCAGCCCCTTGCTCACAGAGCTTGTGCCTAACGGAGGCCGTCTGGAAGAGTAAGTGGTTTGTTTAGCTTTAGCACATGGACTGTGAAGTCAGACCCCGAAGCCATGTTCCAATCTCAGTTTAATCACTTGACACTTGGGCGAGGTACTTTAATAACCCCACTGCATCAGTTTCCTTAACTGGTGAGAGCAGTTTCTACATGTAAGGATCCAGTGGAGGTTAGATGAGAGGGCCTATAAATCATACTCTTGGGAAATGTTTGGTTATTAGTGATGGAGAAATGCTGGGGCTTACTGGAGCAGGCTGGTGACACCTAGTTCTATACTAGGGGGCAGGGCCACAAGTTTTTTGTGTATGTCATTTGTGAATAAATTTTTACAAAAGAATACATATTTTTTCCTACTGTGGCCCTATACCAGAAATGTGATTTCTAGCAATGGATTTATTCCAGTCTAGTACATACAAAGATTCCAATGCCTTATGGGTTGGGATAGTGGAATGTTACCTGCCATTTCTTTTGTACTTTCAAGGCACCATGAGTAGTACAGAGACTTGGGAGGAATCCTACAGATCTGAGCATGCTGTCCGTGTCCTGGAGCTGCTCTTACTCTGACTCATTGGTTCTCACCTGGGGGTGATCCCCCGTCAGCTCCCCCTCCTCCCTGGAAGAAATTTGGCAGTCTGGAGACACACTGGATTGTCGTGGCCGGGTGGGTGCTGCGGGCACCTAGTGGGTAGAGTCTGGGATGATGCTGAACATCCCATGGTGTGCTGGGCAGCACCTCACACAGTCACCCAGCTTACATCAGTGCTGTGAGGAGACCTGCTGAGGCTCTGGCCCCTTCTGTGTCAGCATGTTCAGCTCACTGGACTAAGCTCTCTGTATTTTCCTGGGTAATCAGCCTTTTTCATGGCTTTATCTGCTATTCGTTCACCTGTGGTTGGTAAATGTGTATGTCCAGCCTCAGCCTCTTTCTAAGGTAGTGACCACCACGTATCCAGCTGCCTACTTCATGGCTCTTGCAGTACGGCAGTGTGTACAAACCTGAGCTCACCCATCTCACACCTTGGTGTTCTACCTACTTTATTCGGGTGCAAACAACTAGAAATTTAGACCCCAAGTTCCTCTTCTCTCCCCTCTTCAAATCCCTCTTCTACCACTTACAGTGCCACATGGGTACAGTCCTGTCTTGTCCTCCCCATTGACACTGATGTAGTTTAGGGCACCATGCTTTCTTGCTTGGATTAATGTAATGGTTTTCTAACAACTGGTTTTCCTGCCTTCACTTTTGTCATGTACCCTTGGATACTGCCATACCAGGCTACTTACTATGTCAGAATGGGTCACGGTCCTGGGTCTGAATGCCACTGTGCATGTTTTTCAGTGGCATGTGGTGCCCTTACCCCTTTGGATAACTTGTGCTCATCTTTTAGTCTGAGATGTCATTTGAAAGGTTCTTCTCTTACTTAGATGTCTCTGGCTTCCTTGTATGTCTCCGTGCTTTGATTCTTGCACCTCTACCAAACTAGCGAGTAATCTTCAAAACACGTAAGTGGGATTATATCCTTCCTTGTTTAACTCTTTGTCAGTAGCTTCTCCAGGAGCTATGTGCTCTGGCCCCTGCTGATTTTTCCAGCCACATTTCCCTCTTTTGCTTACTATACTCCAGCTACACTGGCCTTTTAAAATACCTGCAACACACTATTTCCTGCCTCAGAGCGAGTGCACATATTTTTTCCTCTGCCCAGAACATTTCTGTTCCCTGCTTCTTGCATAACTATTTCCTTCTCAACCTACAGGTTCTCATCACCTCCTCAGGAAATGCTTCCCTCAGTATCCTAAGTTGCAAGACTCTATTCATGACTAGTCACCCCATTTTTTCCTTTATTACATAATTAAATGTCTGCCCCACTCCATTGTAAAGTGTCTGTTTTGTAAACCACCAATTTCTTGGGTGTAGTTCCTGGCACTAGGTGTTCAAAATGAATTGTTGAATGAAAAGTGAGAACTGAATGCTCTTGTGCAATGAAGTGCCAAGTTATGGGGGAGGCTGGAGTCAGTAAAAGGCTGAGAGCACAGAAGTCATCTTGAAGTCCCTAAACTCAGAACTATGAGAGCTTAACCCAGCTCTCCAGGAATTCCTGAGGGAGAGTGCTGATTCCTTCTAAATGGCCATTCCCGGGTTTACTTGTAGGTCACCGGGATTCCTCTACACTCAAATCAAGATTGTTTATGAAGTCTTCTGTTAATTTAACTGGCAGTTTTTGAATAAGTAGAGGTCAAAGGATTAAAGCAGAACTCATAGGGTTGACAAACAGTTCTTAAGAAATCCTAGGTTATCAAGCTGAGAACAAATTCTTTACGTTAGTATCAACATAGTATTGTTAGCTGAAGGGAAAATAATTGTTCATGTATTTTTGCTAGCAATATGTTTGCCTTTAGAAACTTGTTTACCTAAGTTTTCCCTTTCAGATGAACAACTGGGCAAAAGTATTAGGGCTACTTTTGCGGATTCCTGGGATGGAAGTAGAAATGGTGACTGACACATATGTCTGACAAAGGATTTATTTGTAGTTTCAGGGTGTTGTCTGGGTAGTTTGATTCCATTTTGGGGATTCTGACTATTTACAGGGGCAAAAGGATAGAATATGTGATTCTGGGCTTATCTAAGGGGATCTAAAACATGGTGGCTATAAGCATAGAAGAAAATGCTAAGTAGTTGTTTAATTTGGCATCTATGCTTTAGAAATAGTGGTTGAATTTTACCTTTGTACTTTTAAATCCTAAGCCATTTATATAAAATGGATTAGCTGAAATATTTTGGAAATTGGATATTAGGTTCAATTCTTGTTAAAAGTTTCCTAATATGTACCACCCACTTCACTGCCTCAGAAAGCTGATCTCATTTCGTTTTGGAAGGCTGAGGATCTCCTGTAGTTGCCCAGGGTCACAGAGCCATTCAGTTGTTATTCTTATTTATTTTGGATGCAGATAGTATAAAAATTTGGATTAAATATATTCTAATTATGAACTTGAAGAGAGGAACAGGGTTTCATTCATTCATTTTTAATACCAACCACAGTGCCTGGCATAAAGTAGGTATGAGTAGTATCTATTCATGTGCATTAAAATTGGGCTTTGAGTCATTGAATACAGAAAAAAGTAAAACACTGTATTAACTTCAGGTACAAATAAAGTTTCTGTTTCCTGAGCCCTATAAAAAATAAAGACTATTCTACTTTTAAGATTATAATTCATGCTTTGGAATATTAGTTCCTGTCATTCTAGTTCCTGTCATTCCTTCTGTTTCTTCCCATGCCCCAGTAAACACACAGAATTTTAGTGGCACCTTCCCCTGCCCCACCGTGATTATCCTTGCTTCTCTGATAAACTCTCCCACTTTCTGGAGGACAGCCAGGCTATACACGGTCCCTCACTCCAGACTTGATTCTCCCTAGGTATATTCCTAGAAGATTATTCTGGGGGGTTTCTGGCTGGCCATTTTTGCTTAAAGTGCCTTTTATTGCAGTGCTGATGGAAGTAAAGCTGAAGCTCTTAGGAAGAGTGATTCATGTAAGTTTATATTTAATATAAAGGAAAAAGCCACTTAAAAAACATACCAGTACAAACCCACAGCCAACATCATACTTAACAGCG